ATAATCGAAGGTCGATCTTACCAGAAGAGAACAGTTGAATCCCGTTGTACTGCAGCTGTTTGGCTTTCCTTTTTTTGCTTTCCTATCTATCTTCCTTATCAAAATCAAAGCCGATCTATCTGACTACAATAATAATTGCTTTTAAAATATTTAACTTCGAGAAAACCATTTTCTTATTTTTACTAGCAGATTACACCATTACGCACATGTGGGCTGAGTGATACATAAAAATTCCGAATTAAAATGTAATCCATATTATCTATTTTGGTGACATTTGGCATTCATTCATTTTTATTAGTGGTTTGATTGGGGGCTCTTCGTGATTTACTGCTTACCTATTCTAATAACATTTTAGGTTGGGAGGATTTGGAGGTTAACTCTTAAGTAGGAACCCAGTTAGATAAGAATATAATTAAAATAAGGCACAGTGTTAAGCAACTTGTGCGGCTTAGGTGAACTAACCTTTCTGGCTTGATCAAACCAAGAGCCTTTTTTAGCGGGATGAGAATCCTGATATTCTCTATACCTATAAGTGAGCTTATCCGGATCTAGGATTAAAGTGATCATTCTAAATAAATGGGATTACACTTATGCACTTGGTCATGATATGAGGAATAGAACAGCATGACAAGCGTGCTTGACGGAAGTTTGTGGGAACAAATCTAGGAGTGAGCACGAGTTAAATGGTGAGAACTTTACACCATCTTGTGTGATCTGCTGTTAAGCATGGCTCCCCCTACTGATACTTCCGATGAAACTTTCGGTCGTACAAGCGATTTATTATCGGAGGCCTAATATATGTTAATATGATAGCAAAAGATACAAAACATATTTAATTTAAATATTGCTATTAAACACATCTTTTTAAGTGGCCTAGGACACATTATACAACTATAAACTTATATTTTTCAGTAATACCATTTTGCATATTATTCTAACCTAATTGCAGCTATCTTAACTAGATACATTTTTCCAGCCCACCTTATGTATTTATTAATTATAGCCACTCACGATCAATCACTATTTTCCTTAAATTTTATTTTTGTACTTTATTAGTATTAAAGTTTGGAAGGATGCTATTATTATAGATATCCATTTCTTACAATTTTCCATATTTGCAGTCTTAGGGGAGTAGTTCCAGAATTCTTTGATTGCTGAACTTATTGGATGCGTTTACAGACATGCTTATCTATTACATTTTCGAGTATTTTTTTATTAAGACAATGTTGATGATGCAAGTTTCTTTTGGATATTAAGATTACTAAAATTTATGTTGATCGAGTATTGCTTCCGGGATATTCATTTATCTACATTTAATTAGGGTTTCATTTTTATCATTTGGCTTTACTTTCTTACATCAATTTTTTTATTTGGGGCCCACTATTCCTTTTTTTAGTTTGATGCTGACACTGGTCCTCCACGACTCGAAGAAGATGAAATACTGGATGAAACGGCGGGCTTATCCCCTTCTAGAGTTGCTGAGATCAAAGAGGAACAGGAGGCTAAAGCGCATGCTCAACTTCTTACTCTGATAGGGGACTTACCAGCTGTTGATGCAAAGCCTCCGACTAATGTTCTATTTATTTGCCGCCTTAATCCTATCACTACTGCTGAAGATCTAGAAATCATTTTCAGTCGCTTTGGGGAAATACTTTCATGTGAAATTATTCGTGATAGGCGAACTGGAGCTTCCTTACAATATGCCTTCATTGAATTCGAACGAGATGATGATTGCGAGACTGCTTATTTTAAAATGGATAATACAGTCATAGATGACAGGCGCATTCATGTCGATTTTAGTCAATCTGTTGCCCGGGAGTGGTATCAGTACAAGAAATCTGGTCTGTTTGATAATTCTTTTCTTCTCCAAGGTCTAACTCACCGACGCAATCCGGTACGTTGAATATTATCATGTATTTATTTATTATATACCTATTTTACCAATACCATTATTCTTATTTCATAATTTAGTCAATCCGTACTGTGCTTTGAAATTCCCTGAAACATCCCCATTCGCATTTATTTGTTATCAAAAGTTGAAAATCGGAGGCATTTCAATAAAATTTCTTCCTATTGATCGGCTTTACTATTTTTTGACTAGTTATTTTTGCAGTACCAAATCTTACATTGTTGATAATAAAATTGTTGTAGCATTTATAACCTTATTTCCTAGTTCGCAAAAATGGATCCAAACCCTTGTTGGGTAGCAATCAATAAACATTGATTCCGATCTCACCCCATCGTCAAATGTCGTTTAATTTTTGTCTAAAATTCTTCGTTTTTTTGGAAAATTTATGGTGTATGAGGATTTTGCCATCCGAGCAAATAGTTTTATTTCATTAGGATGTGCCATGAAGATAGTCAAATTTAAACTAAAGAATTTAATCGAAGGTATGAAGACCAAGATGGTGTGGCCTTTTGTGTGGTCGCAGTCTCCTTTCGTTGTATATAAGTTGTTTGACCTTGTTTTCGCAACATGGTCATATTGGTAGGAAGACTTAGAGTAACACATCTAGTCCGTAGTCCATTGTGTGCATGCTCATTTCCAAAGTTGAACTGTGGACGTGGTACATTCCCAATCGTTTCACCGGCATCGTAGTCGGCACCATACAACAACTCGTCAAAGAGACTAGGTGCGTTCCTCTAAGTCTTCCTACCAATATGACCATGTTGCGAAAACAAGGTCAAATAACTCCTAAAGAATTGAATGCATTATAAAGATGATGAAAAAAGGTATCTTGAGAATGAAACCTTCCTAAATACTTATGTATGACAACAAGCAATTATTAAATGGTATATTTTCTCAACTAGTAGAATTTTACTATTCACCCGTTCTAAGATATGTCAAGGATTTGCCTGTGTGCATATATGCTCTTTTTTTATTTAACAATATTACCCAATATCCTTTATGGCATTATTTATATTGATGCACCAGAATATCTTGGGTTATGACATCTCCCAGTCATGCAGCATAAACGACGGTCAGTACAAAGATTTTGTCCTTTACTGCTTTTAGCAAGAAGTTTGCGAATTTTGGCACACATGATATTTTATACGAAGTAACATGATATACTCGAAAATCGACAAAAATTTTCAATTTGAGATTCATTTCTATTTAGTTAATTAATCACTTTGTTTTGCACATTTCAATACATATTGATTGCTTTAGCACGGCAGGCAATTTCACGACTACGATTGTTCATCTTCATTCAAAGATGTCCAAAAGGAATGCACAAGCAAGCCTGCTGATACCAAAGTTAAAATTGTGGAGCCCCAATCTGAACCTCAGAGCGAAAGCATTCAAGGTGAAATTGCTTCACGGCAAGAGCCAAAGAATATTGAAAGAAAGTCTCCTGATGATGGGCGAGGAGGCGAGTTCGAGTATCTTATCTCTGACAGTGAAGAGGAGTCTGGAGGTCACTCGAAATCGGGAAAAAAGAGCAAAGTGCATAAATCACATCATGAAAAAAAAGGTGAGCATTTTAACATTGTTAAATATTTACATCTATGAGTTACGTTCACCTTATCTCGTCTAAGGTAATGCATGACTGA